AACTTGCTATATCACCTAACCAAAGAGCACAGTTCTTTGTGAAAAAAGATTTAAAAAGGCAAGAATTAAAAACAAAATCATACTTTTATTCTTAATTAAAAATATGAATTTGCCCTTAAAATGTTTATCTTTTATCATGTAAAAGGCATTTTTGACTAAAACACTTACAAAATTGTGAACAAAAATTAAGAAAGCCAATAAATATATTGTAGTTAGCAACAGACAGCTGTGAACACAGAAGGTGGATAGGAAGAAATGAGCTCAGTGAATTTCATGGGCACTGCTGTTGCTAACACAGAGACAGGAGTAGAGAAGGGTGGGTGTGTGTGTGCACATATGAGAGGAGACCCCCAAAATGGAATTATCTTTTGGAGGGCAGGGTCCTTGTAGTATAGGCTTCCCTACCAGGTAAGTGTTCTAGGAACCCATTGGCATCAGTGTACCAGCTAGCGTTGTTGTGAGAGGCTGTGTTCAGCTTCAGAGAAAATTTTTTTTTTTTTTTTGAGATTCTTTCAACATGTTTGCCCATTTCATGATGGGTGATTTACAAGCACATCTGTCTATACCACGATGAGTGTTCAGTTGTTTTTGGCCCAAAACAGCATGATCCTTGTGCTCTACCCTCCTTTATTCACCTGATCTCAACCTAAGCAACTTTTTTTTTGTTTCCCTGGATGAAAAACGTCTTCAAAGGGAAATGTTTTGCTAATGTGGAAGAAGAGAAACAAAAAATGGCAGAAGCACTAAAAGGCATCCAAATTGACGAGCTTTGAGCAGTGTTTTGAGTAGTGTATTGCATCAGAGAGTACTTTGAAGGTGACTGAAGTAAAGAATAAATACATAATTTTTATAAATAATCCTTTTTTGGGGGGTTACTCCCTTATACACCAGTTTCCTCATTCTGTTAGTTAAAGCATGGTGCGCACTGATGCTGCTAACAGAGACAGGAGAAGAGGATGTGGTTGTGTGTACACATACATTGGTTTCCTCATTCTGTTAGTTGAGAGGGCCTAGAAGCTCTATTACCCCAATGGGTTTGAAATATCAATTTCTACTAAAAGAACCCCAGGTCCTGAGAGAAATGACTTTTTCCATGATGAAGGCTAGAAAATGTAAGAAGAACTCCCAAGTGCTCAGACAATAACAGTGACATGTTAAAAGGATAAAGGATCCAGCTTAAAGAGGACCCTACTGGCCAAATTTGGAAAAACTGTAGCATCCTAAATTCACTGAATGAAATAATTCATGAATACATCTGATGTACATAAAGGTATATGAGTAGAGAAGAGAGAAAAACTCTTCATTAGAGTAGAAAACTGAATAATAAATGGAGAGAGAAAGATGGAATTAGAAAATATACATTTGGCCACCAACAAAGTAAAGTGATACAGTCAAGAATCATCACTGTCTGCAAAATAGAAGATGACAATCTAAGGGGGAGGAGGAGACTTACTGTAGCCTCTAAGTATGTCACCAGGTTCATAACCACAAAGGGAAAACAGCAATCCATGGTAGAGAAGCTGATAGGCACCACCTTGTCCACATGATTAAAATTCATATGATGGGTTGGGCATGGTGGCTCAAACCTGTAATCTCAGCACATTGGGAAGCTGAGGCGAGAGGATTACCTGAGCTCAAGGGTTTGAGACCAGCCTGGGCAACTTGGTGAGACCTCATCTCTACTTAAGTAAAAAAAAAAAAAAAAATTCCAAGTGTGGTAGCATGCGCCTGTAGTTCCAGCTACTTGGAAGGCTGAGGCTGGAACTTGGAAGGATCGCCTGAGCCCAGCAGATCAAGGTTGTGGTGGCCATGAGCGTGCCACTGCACTCCAGCCTAGGCAACAAAGTGAGACTCCATCTCAAAAGAAAAAGAAAAGAAAAGAAAAAAAATTCGCATGATGAATCACAGGACAGAGTGCCACCAACACGCCTCCTGAAATGATATACTGAGAAGAATGCGGTTCCTTCTGAGGCTTCCCTGCCAAGTACGTACAGCCTACATCTAATGAGCACACAACAGACAGAAACAAACCATGAGGCATTCTAAAAAGTCACTGGCTTGCTTCCAACAAAACTGCAGGGTCAAGAAAGATGGAAAAAAAGTCGAGGACCTGTCCAAGCTAAGGGAGACAAGAGACATGGCAGATGAATGAAACACGTGAACCAGGATTTTCTTTGGTTCTAAAAGACATTGGACCAACTGGTGAGATCTGAATACAGTCTGCAGATAGAAAATAATTAGCATTACTTCAAAGGTAACTTTCTTATTTTGATCATTGCACTAAGATTATGTGTTTGTTTTTAGGACACACACTAAAGTATTTAAAGATAAAGCTTAAGGAAAATTAAATGAAATAGAAAAACATGTTTATCTAGAGTGAGGAAATCATAAAGCAAATGTGTAAGACATTAACACCTGGGAATCTAGGTGAGGGGTGTATGAAAATTCTTTGTACTGTCTTGCCATCTTACTGTAAATCTGAAGTTTATTTCAAAATAAACATTTAAAAGAAAAAAAACAGTAAATAAAACATATCTGAAAACAGCAAAAACAAAACAAACAACTATTTTCAATCGCTGCCCTGAGGAGTCAGAGACTAACTGCATTGATGCAAACTGGAAAGTGCTTGTAATATTAAATATAGACAGGAAGTCTAAGAAACTCAGAATTCAAAATAATGCACACAAGTTGTCACTACAGAATAATTGGTGGTATCTGGAGGAAAAGATACCTCTTAACACTTTCTGTTTTATAGAATCCCTAAGTCTTTGCCAAAAAGTCATTCATTTTCCAACACTTTTTCCTTGTTCTTATAAGAATCGTCTCTGGGGTGAGTGCCACCATCTCTCTTTGAAGAGAAGACTCCAGGTTTCCTGTGTACACACTGGGTGGGGGAGATGCTCAGCAAGGATGTGCTGACTTGGGCTGCTTCTGGCTCTACACTGGACATCACATATGCTGGCAAATGCCACTTTAGCCTGATGGCCAGGTGGCAGCTGGATGTGCACGGGCCTTGCTCCCAGGGTCACTTACGGTCTAGAGCGTGGGCCTGCCCACATGTCACAGTGTGTTCCCCACACACAGCTGGGTGTGCATGAGCCCTGCTCCTAGGGTCTCTTGAGGTCTAAAGTGTGTAGAGTGTCACAGTGTGTTCCCCTTCCACAGTCTCAGCTCTCTGGGCTCCTGAAGAGACAGAGGACTCTAATCTACAAGCCATTTATGCAGAGCTCACGTGTTATCTGTGTCCCTATCCAATGTGCCCTCATGAATGGTGGCAGCCCCAAGATCCTGCCTACCCAAGTGGCTAGGGAGAGTGTGGGTGCAGGTTCTGTTGGAGGCAGGCAGGGGCATGAGCCCTATGTGGCTGCTGCAGGGTGGGAGGCTGCCCAGCTGGGCTGACATGGAAGGGGAGCTGGTGCCCATGTCTGGGTATTAGGCTCACACAGCTAGGGACTACTGGCTGGGTTTTTCCCTCTAGCTTCATCAGACAAGCAAAAACTAGAAATTCTCTCCAGATTCTGGCAGTAGGAAGGTGGCTGGCTTGTAAAAATTATTTTTGCATCCTTATGGGCATTTTAATTGGAAGTTTAAAGAAGCAAGTCTTGAGCTGCGAGACAGATTTCACTTTAAGGTGAAATCTTAAATGAACTGGTTACGGCAGTTAGCAGGAAGCAAACAGAAGAATGAGTGCTGCTTTTTTTTTTTTTTGCAGAAGTCAAATGTGACTTTTATTTTATTTTATTTAAAATTTATTTTTAATTTTAAAGATGTGAGGTACAATTCAGGGTTAGGTATACATATGTTCATTATGCAGGTATCCTTGTTGATGAGGTGTGCCCCTGCCCACCAATCACTGAACTACTCTGGAGCATAGGGGCCTCTGGGTCACAAAACAGCCTGGAGGAACAGTAGTTTAGAAAAAAGTTTGCTGAAGCTGAACAGGACACTGTGGACCAAATAATTTCATTTGCAAAAGCCATCACTATTAAAACCTAGAAAACCTTAGAACCACAATGGATTTAGGATGATTTTTCCTATACTTGCACACACCTCACTTTTGACTCTCTTGAAGTTTAAATTAACCTTAAACACTAGATCAGCTGATATTAAGGCCACTGCTAGCCAGTAAAGATGGCTTTGTGCATATTAGCAAGAAACACCCCTTCTGGACAGATACCCACAGACTCCACAGGGGAATACACCTTGTATTTCAGCCCTACTGCCTCTCCTGGTTCAGGCACGTTTGTGAAGTGTACACACTACACAAGCATACACAGCAGACCTCTTTCACATGCTGAAGAGTAGAGGGCTTCAAAGTCAAGAAGAAAAACATCTCCAGGGTCACAAAATAAAATTACATTAATTTTAAAATTTATACCATCTCAATCTGTGTAGATATTTTTGTGATATTATTAAGAGAGAAAAATATTTGTATAGACAAACCACTGACACAAATATACAAGGAAAATTCCTAAGATATCAGGGCCACAGAGAGATGGGCAAGAGTGAGAAAACACGAGGCAAAGGTGCAGCTCCTTTCAGGGCAGCAGAGGGCAAACTGAGATGAAATCAGCATGGAAAGTAAAATCATCATGACTTGGGCTCTTCTAATAGAGATTGATGGGATTTGGTGACTTAGTGATTAATACAGTTCCTTTAGGAGATCAAACCACTTTATGACATAGACCACTACATTTTGGTTACTATACACTTAAATCACACTATTTCTATTTTTATTTTTGAAAGTCTGTTAATTGACAAGGAATATATGTTTATATTAGACCTTGATGTGAACAAAAATATAATTTCAGAAATTACGCATCCTTTTCTAAAAATATATACAAAATTTCTTTTTCACATGATTAATTTTTAAACAAGTTTAGTACAAGCAATTGTGAGGCTTTCAAAAGGGAAAGATTCTTATTATTTTTGTTAAATGTTACAAAGTGCAAAATAATTTTAAAATACCAAAATTAAAAAATAATTTTCAATATACTCACTGAATTGGCATTTGTTGGGTTTGGCCAAGGTCTACCACCACCTGGACCCCTAAAAAACAATGTGATAAATAAAAATGTAACCTATGCTTTGAGTATCTCACAATAAGTAATAACAAATCATAAAACATTAACATTTACAACTCAATTACCTGCAGTTCCAGTTCAGCACTGAAATTACCCTATTTACTTTAACAGCTTTTTTATTTCTTACATCCAAAATTTTTATCATTTCATAAAAATGGCTTTCTTCCAAATAAAGCTACTTTTAGTAAGCCCATTTTATTTTAATATTAATTTTGGTTATTGGAATAAACAAAAAAATAGCAATCACTTATAGCAGTAAATATATATATGAAATCATTATAAAAACACTTTTGGAATAAAAAGCACTAATTATGAACTAAATATAAACTATAATCTTGTAACATTAATCTAAACACTACCTGTATCTCATTCAAAATAATTTATAAAATATTAATATATATAAAACAATTGCTCTTATCAAGCTACAAATAAATATACATAAAAGGTATCTAAAGTTGCCCCTTTTTAGAAAAATCAGAGTATCTTCATGTTACTTTCCATATCTATCTATTAATTATCTGCAGTGCTGCCAACGTAGTTGCTATTAAATGGGAACACTGAAGTTCTTGTTTTCATAATTTTAATTTAAGGCAGTGGCCAGAGTGAATCATAAGAAAGTGGGAGGTAATTTTTGCCAATGTATGCCAATATATAACTTCATTTTAGGATAGAGGAAAATGTTTCATATTCCATAGCTTGTAAGGGCACACAGACTTTTGAAACAAAATTAATACACAATTAGTTAAGTCAAAAAGGTCTCCTGTCCTTATGCTTTAGAATTCAATAGTATACCTAATAAATACTGTCTTAGGAAAAGTAAACTACTGCCAGGCAGTCCCCTGTAATTAGGGTTATTTGAAATTCCCCTTCCTTCTAACCACTAAGAGAGTGAACATTCTTAACTTAAAATGTCCTTGATTCTAGAGACCTTAAACCTAAAGCTCTGAATGTTAGATGAAGAGGCTGTCCAAGTTAGTTATTACATTGTCCATATTTGCTTGGGATATTTGGAACTGTTTTTAGATTTGTTTTGGGATGTCCTGGGGGTGAAAGTAGCAAGGCAGGCATGAATCCTGTTCTGAGGCCCTGTTGGGAATGCCCAGCTAGAATTTCTTCCCAAGATAGCAGGAGGTACAGATGAAGAGGATGAGGCTGGCGGGGACTTGATCAAAGTCTTGTGCACAGGGAGAAAGAAGGCAAGGTCCCTAGGACTGACTGTCCTTGGAAACTATTGCCTCTCTAAGATGATAATGATGGCAACTTTACAATTTTTTACTGTATTAGTTTAGAAAAAATGATTTTATATACAGGATTCAATGTCCTAGTGGGCAGAAACTGAAGTAAAACCTAAGATATGTGCTGACCAAGTGAAACCATCCACACAATTAGTTAGACGGGTAGTAGGAGCCATCCACACGATTAGTTAGATGTTAAAGAAAACACAGTAAAGAAACTGGGAACATGTATCTTAAGACAACATAAAAAATACACCATATGCAAATCAGAGCAAAAATGTATATGCAATGATGTTATATAGATAGTGATCTTACACCTTTGAAATATTATGGCCCAACAAGTACTGTATGACTAAGATATATTAAATATAATAAAAAATTTATTATTTCCAAATTTGTCTAATGTTAAAATAACATACTCAATTAAATGTTAAAATTAAACAATTCATTTAATTTAACAGCATTAAATTAATGTTAATGTAGAATTTATGTTATAAATAACATAAAATACTTAAGAATTTTAATTGTTTGATAAATAATAATCTAGTCTCTGCCTACCATATATTTCATAACACATTTCATTTTAATATTATCAGACATTTGATTCAGTACTAATAGTTCATATGGAAATAAGTTCCCCCAATATTGCCATTGTATTTTTAAAGCGTTTTAGGTTCACTGGCAGTGCTGGGTCAAGTGGGGGTTACTGCTGTGAGCAGTTCTTGAATAATGCCATAAGCCCACAATTCCCACTCCTTTGAGGAACTCATCTACAAACTATAGCACAAGCATTGTTTTGAATGGAAATTTCTATATAACTATAGTTGGAGGCAGAATCCGGCTAGCCTCACTTAAAAATAAAGAGAAAAATGGAATTTAAAAATAGAACTCTATTTTCTGATAAGGATGCTAATTTCAGTGAAATCAAATCAACCATGACTACCAAAGAGAAAAATCCTCTTTGCTTCTGTAGTTAACCCTCATTTTATTTTTTAAAAAATCACTACATAAACTTCATAAATCTAGATGATATGAAATAGAACAAAAAGATCCTGTGAAATCCTTTTGTCTTCCTAGTTTCCATAAGACAGCATCATACACAAAGTTGAATTAGGAGTGCTTTCATAATGAATCCTGAATGCTTGGGACACTGGTTAAAAATGTAGTCAATTTAGAAACATACTACTCTATTCAAGTTTCCTTTTAAAAATAATCTATAATGCATTTGAAAACACTTATATTTTGGCCACAATTTTAAATGTTACTTTAAATTACTTAAATTATGATTAAGCTTTTGCTCCTAAAGATATAAATTATTTTAATTTTAAATGACATGTAAAACTTATTCTAAGTTTACAACATGGAAATGTAAAGATTATATACTAATCATTTTTAGTGGAGATGGCTGATTTTTTAAAAATAATAAAGTTACCAAAATTTTGTTCCAAATAACTTATTCTGCAATTAAGGGATACAGTTGCCAGTTATAATACAGTATTTAATTACTTTAGAGACCAAGGCTGGGTATTTTCATTGTCATTGTACTCTCCTGGCAAACAATAAAAAATGACAAGTTAAAGAAAAACCATTCAGACAGGATTCTCCGCCAGGTCCCTCCTTACTCTCAACATGCCAATATTTTAGTTACTTTAGTAGCTGAGCAATGGTTTCAGCCTATGATGATACCACTCTAAAGCCTTTTCCTGCTATTTTTAAGTGGCCCCAACATGTAAAAAAATAATAACATGAAGAAAACCACAAATACAGTTAGAAATATTTGTTTGCTATTATACAGTTAGATTTATTACAGAATGAATTTCAATAATGCTTACTCTACTGAGTGCAATGGAAATAACGTGCTTCAGTTTTTATGTTTCCTTAAATATACTTTTGGTTTCTAGCCAATATCAATACAATAATTATTCTCTCTGATTGAATCTTCCATACTTCAGAAGTTTCCCTGCTAGGGGAAAATTTTTACAACTGTAAAAATGTAAATACTTACATTCCACTGTCCTTGAAGGAGTCTTAATTTATAGAAAACTAAAAATGGTATAAGACCTTACATTAAAAAAAAATAGCAACAAATAATGAAGATCAGAGTCTGTAAGGCTTAAGGGCTCTTTACAAATCAGAAGTTATATCAATAGTAAGATGATATGCAATAGGAATAGTTCTAAAAGTATCTGAGCATACTTAAACAAGAAACCTAAGACCAAATACCAACAAAAACATCGCATTAAAATTTTCAGCCATATTTTTAGTCTCTGTAGTCTAGGAAATCAAGTATACACATATGTGCATGATTAAGTATGTGTGAGAAAGCAACTAGACAATCTGAAGCAGCTACTTGAGTCTCTCAATGGTCACATGAAAATAATTTTTTTCTCTGAACTGGCAAAATCAGGTTGACCTAAAGGTGGCCACATGGCCAGTTATAAAGCGGAGTAATGTACAAAATGATATCAGATACATTCTTAATATTTAATGGTAATTTTGGATCACAGTATTCAAAACGTATATTCATTACACTTATACATAGTATTCAAAATTACACTCCTTAAAATCTACTGAATTTTAAAGTGAGAATCTCAGGTAGATAAATTTTATATCTATCTCCATCTTATTGGTAAGAGTTCCAGTTTTGACATAAGCACAAGATACTATGCACTTCTTATGTAGCAACCATTAATAAAAGGTTAAGCCTTTGAGGAATCTAAGGAGTCAGACTTCATGCCTGTCCATTTTTAGTTTAAAAGTAAAAAGACCTGATAGGAAAATGTGACCTACTTTTTCCTGTTCCGCTAGTTTTGAGTCTAGCTGGTACCCACCTATTAACCTATTTTCTATTTTGGGCAAATTTGCTTTCCATGAAAATGATTTTAGCAACTTAAAAAAAAAATCCCTACGTACATCAAAACAGTTTATTTCACAGTATATCTTCAATGCCATTAAACGATGGTGGAGTTGTTTACTTTGATATGTAAGTAATCAAAACATGGACTGATGGAAAACATGTTTGAGACACCCACAACTCACATGGAACACGTTCATTATTTCTGGTAAGCTTTCTCTAGGTCATGTCATGGAACTGATACTCTGGGGGATTGATGAAAGCCACTAACAAGCACCTGGTGTATATGGGCTTAGATGACAAGTTGGATAATGAAAAAGAAATAAAAATTTCCTAACAAACTGCATTCTATTGGCTGAAAGAAACACATTGCTTTCTTTGGGTTGGAAAGGCCTTTCCAGTAAAAAATCTTGAGTTTTACTCCTTATCTAAGTGTGTCTCGAATTTTCAAAAGGAAATTCATTCTGTACCATGGAAACTTCTTTAATACGAAGAAACTACCGGAGAGAATTCTTCCTGTGCGGAAAGAAGTCTCAACAAAGCATAAGTAAAGACATGTTCATCCAGAAGAGTTGAAAACCCCTCTCTTAGGAGACACTACACATCTGTTAAAATCAGGTTGACAAGATTCACTCATCTACGTCTGTATAGTTAAGTCCAAGTCCTGGTGTCAGTGTTGCCTCACACTTCATGGACTCTACACACAGGGGATTATGTACTTAGCAAAAAAAATTAGCTGAAGTGGATTACTTATGGCACCTGAAAATGAAAAAAATCAAAGGTTGCGAGAGGAAGAGGACATGCATATCATGAAAGGATGCGGACAGCACTACTGCGTGGTGGAGAGCGAGGTCTTGGTGCTTCACAAAGGGTGTCACGGGGGGACAAGACGAGACCGTACAACAAGGAATGGCGCAGGGCTTACATGTTCATTCCGGGCATCCCAGGGCCACCTAGAGCGTTCAGGGGGGGTCGCATTGCACCTCCATAGTTCTGCAATGATAACCAAGGGTCAGACTACCACAAAACAAAAAAACAAAACCAAAGAGGAGGGGGAAGAAAGGAGAACTGGTTAATGATTTCCCACGTCACCCTGATGGGACAACGCCTGTGAAACGCATTCTCTGAAGGGTCCACTTGGGCTTTTGCTTCTATTCTAGCAATCACTTTGGTTTATGTCTCTTAATAACTATGTGAAATTGTAAGGCCACTGGAGCATGATTAAGGTATGGTTGATGAAATTCAACATATCTTTATTAATTTCCTAACATCTGTACAATAGTGAACTTTTTCAAATGATTCATTAATCCAAAATTCTGTTTTTAAAGAAAAGCTTTTTAAACATGTTTTAAATTATCAGACCCAGAACAATGACATAAAGCATGTAAAAAAAAAAGTAACAGGTGAACCCAATATAAGAAAGGAGAATGCAAACAACTGTTCACAAAATAACATATCCAACACAGAAATGCAGCAATACATAAATACACAAGAATATATAAAAGCAAAACTATACTCAAAATACATATACATGAATTATACAACTCATCAAGCTTCTGTTGATATCAAGGCTACAACAGATAAAGGCTACAGTCTACTGTTTTTTGTTTTTGGGTTTTTTTTGAGTTGGAGTCTCACTCTGTCACCCAGACTGGAGAGCAGTGGCTG